AGCGATTCTCTTTCATTCGTTCTCCTGATGCTCCCTGCAGGTCCAACCAACGTTCTGTTTTGTTATTCCCTTCCCACAAAACCAATTTCTATTCTCACTCCTTTACTGTGCACGCGGTCAGACTGTGGAATTCGTTGCCGGCTGACATCCGAGTTTGCAAGTCTGTTTCTGTTTTTAAATACAAGGTCAAACAATTTTATCTATCATCAACCGAATGATCATGGTTCTATACTCTTCGCATATACGAGTGTTACTGTGTTACTTATAATATTTGCTATGTGTATGTGCTATAATTCTCATGTTGTATTTGTTATTTTAGTTATGTGTTATTTGTTCTACACACACTTATCACTTTTTATTATTATTCTCATTATCCTCTCGCAGGTCTGCTGGAAGAGATTTCTCAAAGAAATAAGCAGTGCCTTTGTACATAATTTTCCTATTACTCTGTACTGTGTCTTGTTTTCTGTGTGTACATAAATAAATAAATAAATAAATATAAAGGGTGAGGCAACTATTGTGCAAAACTTACAAACGAATCAAAGAATACTTCTTACACGGGATTAATCATATTATTACGTCCGTATTGATGTTTGAGTTTGTTATTACAAAGTTGATGGCGTAATTCACGCTGTGTGATTTCCAGAAGTTTCGGTGACCACTTAACGCCGACTGTGGTCAAGCACGAATCAAATTCGACTTTAAAACAGAAAACTCAATGAAATATGTACATTCACATACAATAATTTTTGGAATCGCCTTAATAATACGCGATATGAATTTCATTTAGGTTTATTACCTAGTATATATATAGTTTCAGTTTTAGAATCTTCTAGAATTCTATAGTATTCAATTACATCGAAGTAAAGAATAAGAAATACGTAAGAGTATTTCAATATGAAAAACGCTAATATTTTCACATCGTGGGAATACGACAGTCGCGTTACTACCGCACAATATACATTCACTTTCACTTCACGCTTGTTATAAATATCGGTTGTAACAAATCGTCTTTTCGCATTAAAAGTGTACAATATCCAAAAAATTTAGAAATCGAGTTAATATAATTTAAAATTTAATTTTTATTTTTTATTTTTAATAATTATTATTATATTATAATACTTTGTATTAATTGTATGTATATTTACGGAGATATGTATGTGTAAATGTATGTGTACATATATGTAAATGTATTTCACTGGAATGGTACACCGCGCGTAGTTCGTTTCCAAATGATTCTTGTCCACCTGATGGTTGTCTGGAAGAGATCGCTCTTAGCGATAAGACCGCCAAGTGTACTTTTTTGTTTTTAATGTATCGCACTGTTTATTTGTTTTTTTTGTGTACAATAAAGAATACTCTCTCTCTCTCTCTCTTAATATGCGGAATCATTTGGTATCACCAGTATTTTTCTCATAAATATTGTCAAAAGAGATCAATAGGTTAGTTTTAGTTTTTTTTTTTCTTTTAGTTTACCTATAGTTTGACTACTATTAACAAAATTAATACATAACTTTATCTTACTTACGTAATTACACGGTCCATTTTCAATACTTTGCTATATATGTTAATATCTAAACCAGTCACCGTCCTCGCCGAACCCGTCGCTTGCGACAAAGGGCTCGACGAGTAAATTAACCCATAGACACAGCCCACTGAGTTTCTCGCCGGATCTTCTCAGCGGGTCGCGTTTCCGATCCGGTGGTAGGTACTGCGAAGCACTGCTCTTGCTAGGGTCAGTGTTAGCAACACTCGGTTTGAACCCGTGAGCTCACCTACACGTCAAGAAGAAGCTGAAATAGCCTCTCAAGGCTATCAGCATAGGTAGGGAAAAAAATCTAATCTGATTAGAAAAGGGAAAATGCACTTTAATGCAGTGAGCAAACAGTATGAATTCGATGAGCTAAGTATAAATGCTGTAAGTTTGTTGTTATCGTATGAACTCGTATTCATTTACATTACATTGCGTGTTCGTCGTTGGTTCTAAAAGTTTGTATCTATTTTAAATGTATAGTAAAGCCTTCGTCAAACAGAACGCGTACTTAGCGCCGCGTACTTAACGTCGCGATCTTCAAATTGACTAGATGAGTCTAACGCTCTTTGACGCAACGCATTCGCCAAATCATAGTGCCTTTCGATAGCAGTGTGAAAATTTAAAAGTATTAAGAAATCGAGTGATTCAGATGTGGCATTGTATAAGCATGGGTATTTTCTAACTATTTATTAGTATTTAACTAGTATTTTAATACACATTCACTCGGACGCTAAGATAAAATTTGTAAACAATTACAACGCCTGACGTCAAAGCGTCCTAACGCCGCGACAGAGCGCTGTGTATCTATAGCGCTGGGGCTCTGTTTGACGGTATGTTACCATAGTAGTACAACACATCTCCGCATCATAGCGCGGCGTTAGTTGAGCGCTCTCACGCGCGCTAATTACGCGTTCTGTTTGACGAAGGCTTAAAACCTATTTTTGTCTCGACAGGAATATACAGCGTTTTTCATTTGTTTTTACCAAAGCGGTGTACCTACATAATTCAACAGTTGTTCAGCAGTTGCAGACGGCTGTTATGTCCATAGCTTTCAAGACACAAGACATGGCTTATTCGCGGCAGAAGTAGACCACCTAAACAGATTTTCCACTGAATCCCTTAGTCGCCCTTTACAAAAAACACGGGAGGAGATGGTGTAGTAATATTCTAGACTATTGGTTTGTCATTGTGAATTTTGTCTTAAATTGAAACTACCTTATTCGGATAGTAGTAAAAAAACTTAATTCAGTTACAGATGCACACTAAAGAAGTAATTTATATTCCATATTACATAGACATTTCAAAGTGACACAAAAATGGATGTGCTCCTGAAAACGAATTACATAATTTGTATTCAACATTGTTATGTGTCTGTGTAGTGATAATACACGCAATGGCCTTTTTACTCTACTAGAGGTCCCGCAGTAGTCGAAATTCGACTATAATTAATTGCAATTGTATAAGTTTGTACACTATTATGACTGTATTTTATACTTCTATAATCACAAATTTCGCTAAGGCTACACTATAAAAAAATATTAATAAATGCAAACCATATTTAATCTATTCTCAATTTGACCTCAGACGTCAAGAACAAAAGTTTGACAATAAATAGTATGCATGCGTGTGTGCGTCAAATACATGGTACCTATGTAGTGTGTGATTATATTAGTTAATGTGTGAAAACATTAGTTTTCTTTCTTGATTTAATGTATCTTTTACGCATTATTTAAAAAAAAAATCTCTACAAGTGCGGAAAATTTCATACCACTCCGTTCGCGCAATTTTCGTAAAAAGGGATACAAAGTTTTTGCTTCACGTATTAATATATAGATAATAACGAGTTATTGTCAAAGTCGTCCACATAATTTATGACAGATGGCGCTAGTAGTCATTTATATTTTGTTACAATATTATCATGTAGTGTGTGTTGTAAGATCGTCGATGACATAGAGATTACAAGTTTTTCGCGGTATTGTCGGTAAGCAAATAAAGTAATTTTATCAGCTTGAGCAATGTTTATAAAAATAACGATCGCTTCTGTTTGCATATAGCTTTAATTGTTTGGCTGTAGTTTCAAATTATCTGTGTCATTTAAAAGGTAATGCTTTCGTAAATGTTTCCTTATTGGTTTTTTTTATAACAATAATGTCTGGTGTTTAAGCTCGTTATTATTATTGTTTGCATGTAACGATATCTTGGAACGTCATTTCCACTGACTTGAAAAAGTGATGTTAAATTGAATGTTGACGCGCAAATCAATGATCGATGGCCTAGATAGTAAATTCTTAGTAATACAACTAGTATAACTTCGTTCCAAAACCCTTGCTGATGGTAGGGCGTCTTGTGAGTCCGCACTGTACTGTTACGCCAGCAAAAGTAACGCCATCTGTCGTCGATTAGCAGAAAACGAATATAAAAATAACTAGTAATATCGAGAACCCTATAGAAGTGCAACGCCATCTATCATCAAATAGCGAAAACACATATCGTCGACTAGTCTTGCCGGAAATGTTCTTGATAATCGTAGAGATGTATCGACTATAAAATCGTTACAGAGATGACACGAAGGCAGTAAGTAATCGGATCTATTCGAAGCGAAGCCGAAGAAGCGATTGGTAATTGTAAAGTGCTCTATAAGTGTTAAATAGAATTTTAGTTTGTACATCGGTGGCAGTTTTATTTATCCCGAATCCCAGTGAATAATAGTACTTATCTAGTACCCAGCTTATTTCGGCCGTGAAGCAGTAATGCGTTTCGGATGGAGCAGCCCATTGTATTGTAAAAATCGAGACACATCATCTATGCAATTAATAAAAATATACTACCAAGTTTTAAGAGGACAATCACCTCGGGACCAGAGCTCAGTGTGCGAGTTTTTAACGTTCTCGATGGCGTAGAAGTTAACTCAAATTTGTATGGAGTTGGAATTTTTTCCTTCGTTTGCCGCTAGGGGCGCTGTTTCTGTATACAAACTACATAGAAATTTGAGTTAACTTTTACGCGATCGAGAAGTTAAAAAAAAGTCGCACTAAGCACACATAATACGCCCTGGCGCGATGGCAGCGTAATTACATAGCGATAATTGCGTATTTCATGCATCACGTTTTATGTAACCTAAACTATTGATTTTAAGGTGTTACATGCTAGTTATTTTTTTTATTGCTTAGATGGGTGGTCGAGCTCACAGCCCACCTGCTGCTAAGTGGTTACAGGAGCCCATAGACATCTACGACGTAAATGTGCCACCCACCTTGAGATATAAGTTCTAAGGTCTCAAGTATAGTTACAACGGCTGCCTCACCCTTCAAACCGAAACGCATCACTGCTTTACGGCAGAAATAGGCGGGGTGGTAGTACCTACACGCGCGGACTCACAAGCGGTTCTATCACCAGTAAAAAAATAAAGGGCTAAAAAGGTTAAAGGGCTTAATCGTCAGTCGAATACAAAAATTATGTAACTCACGTTTCTCGGGGCCTTGTGCTGTCGCCAGGCCCAGGAGGGCCACGAAAATCAGCTGCCATCCTCCCATTTCGTCACTTCCGGTTATAAATTTCGGGGCTGGCACGGCTCACCGCGTCTGGCAACGGCCGCTCGCGCCTGGCAGTGAAAACGGCAGGACTATTGGCAATACGGCCGGGAGCAAGCACGCCCTCGCTCGCGTCTCTAAAACAAAAGAGATTAAATCTAATATAACGAAGCGTAACGGTACGTTGATAAGATAATATTATCTCGTCTTCAATGATTAATTAAAGCGTGATAGGAAAAACACTTCGCAGTCACGAGACGAAGGGTCTTGATAGTGGGGGGAGTGTGAGAAGTGAGAAGTACATGAGCGATGTTGATAGATAATAGTACGTCTAAATGTGTTTCGTGCAAATGATAGAGAACAGTATAAAAATAAAAAATAAAAATAAAAAACCGACTTCAAAAAAACAAAATCGTCAATGTATACGAAGTCCAAATACATTATTGAGGATGACACAGAAAGAACTGGCCAGACCTTGACAAAATTTAGATGTTATCACGTAAGAAGTGGCGGCCTTCAAATAACAAAAACAAGCACGATAGTAATTATAGGTCTAGTTATAAAAAAAAGTCCTGAAGGAAACACACACAAAAAAAGTGTGTGTGTCCGCTCCGACGCACGACTGGAGTTTACTGGATATAAAAAATTAAACGAAACAATACGAGAAATAGTTCTATATTACGACAACACGATACACTACAGATTATTAACAAATTAACGAGACACAAAACAAACGACTAACAAATATATGAAAATACAATAATGAGAGAAACGCGCGATCAGTACGAGGCTTTGTGGCGGACTGCCGGCGCAGCAGCCCGGCGTCACCTGCGATAACGCATTTCGTGTGACATGCGCAATCAGGCGCATAACGCATTTCGTGTGACATGCTAGTACGATTTTGGTCCCCATAATTTTCATACCCCGGGCCTATATATGTAAATCGATTCTAAAGGAGTAAACTCCAAAAAAGTATAAAAAAAGTCGAATCGATGACCTTATCCTTTTTTTGAATAAAAACAAATAAAATCAATCTATCGATAAGGCAATTCAATTATTATTTTTGCCATCTATTCGCCGGTAGCTATTCCGGCTACGCACTGGCCCTAACAAGAGCAGTGTTTCGCAGAATCTACCACCGAATCGGAATCTCGACCCACTGAGAAGATCCGGCGAGAAACTCAGTGGGCTGTGTCTATGGGTTAGTTCTCTCGTCGAACTCAAAGCACCGAATTTTGTCAGAATACTAATGTCTTATCATTATCTGTCAGCTAACTTCACTACGTTGTGCATGTAGTGGCATTTGAATTTACTACCCGATAATATTTTACGATTTTTTTATATTATTATATATTTTTGGAGTTTACTCCTTTAGAATCGATTTACATATATAGGCCCGGGGTATGAAAATTATGGGGACCAAAATCGTACTAGCATGTCACACGAAATGCGTTATGCGCCTGATTGCGCATGTCACACGAAATGCGTCATCGCAGGTGACGCCGGGCTGCTGCGCCGGCAGTCCGCCACAAAGCCTCGTACTGATCGCGCGTTTCTCTCATTATTGTATTTTCATATATTTGTTAGTCGTTTGTTTTGTGTCTCGTTAATTTGTTAATAATCTGTAGTGTATCGTGTTGTCGTAATATAGAACTATTTCTCGTATTGTTTCGTTTAATTTTTTATATCCAGTAAACTCCAGTCGTGCGTCGGAGCGGACACACACACTTTTTTTTTTATTGCTTAGGTTGGTGGACAAGCTCACGGCTCACCTGGGGTTAAGTGGTTACCGGAGCCCATAGACATCTACAACGTAAATGCACCACCCACCTTGTGATATAAGTTCTAAGGTCTCAGTATAGTTACAACGGCTGCCCCACCCTTCAAACCGAAACGCATTACTATTGTGGATGTCTATGGGCTCCAGTAACCACTTAACACCAGGTGGGCTGTGAGCTCGTCCACCCATCTAATCAATAAAAAAAAAAACAATCCATTCTTGCAAGCGACAAATTTAATCTGTGGAATGATCTAGATAAAAAATAAATATATTATTATCAATTCCTAAATAACGAATTCCTGATTGAGACATAATAAAACATTATTAATAGAAAAGTGATAAATGAAATAACAATAGATAAAATCTAATATTAAATCACATTTATTTCTAAGCGAGATATCGTTTCGCTTCGTTGGCTCGGTTGTTTCACACGTTGCTTACTGCACCGACTCGGAATGGCTTTGGAAAATTCGTGTCGATAACACTTAACTCGCATACAATTATTATGGTACAGTAAATCCGGTCTAAATATGAATTGAAAAAATAGCCTATGTCTGTATTATTATTTGTATACTAGTGGTCCCGCAGTAGTCGAAATTCGACTATAATTAATTGGAATTGTAAGTTTGTATACTATATATTATGATTGTATTTTATACTTCTATAATCACAAGTTTTGCCAAGACTACACTATAAAAAATATTAACAAAGACAAACAATATTTAATCTATTCTCAATTTGACAACAGACGTCAAGAACAAAAGTTTGACAATAAATAATATGCATGCGTGTGTGCGCTAATCATGGTACGTAGTGTGTGTAATGTTTTCTTTATTGATTTAATGATTCTTTTATGCATTATTTAAAAAAAATATTAGCATTGTGCACTTCTTCTCTATATTCTTTTTAAGTGTGGAAAATTTCACACTCCTCCGACTGCGCAATCTTCGTAAAAAGGGATACAAAGTTTTTGCCTCACGTATTAATATATAGATGTATGTCTGTTCATAGATTTAAAAAAACTGTCAAGGAACGTTTGTGCAACAAGGCATATTATAAAGTTAAGGATTATTTACTAGATGGCACTACGTGGGAATGAGGCGTTCGCTCCTGGCCTTTTCATTTTTCATTAATTTTTTTTAATTGTATTTTTGACTTGTTTTTACGTTGTACTAAAATTTTGTTTGACTATCGAGTAATGATTTGAAGAAATACGAACCACCATACGAACGAAAAGCTGTTTCATGTTGAAGCCTAGCTATTTAGCAATTAAAAAAGATTTAAATCAGTCCTTTTTTTTCATAAGCCTTTTGCTTTTGCGAAGTGATTACTGAGACCAGGTATATCACATGGTAAATGCCAGCACCTTGAGACCTTGTGAGTATAACGGCTGTCCAAACAGTTCCTACCGCATGGCTGTTCCGTGGTGTAAAGCAGACAGGGAGGTAGTAACCGGTCAGCGTCCTCGCCGAACCCATCGCTTGCGACAAAAGGCTCGGCAAATAAAATAAACCCACAGACACAGCCCACTGAGTTTCTCCCCAGATCTTCTCAGTGGGTCGCGTTTCCGATCCGGTGGTAGATTCTGCGAAACACTGCTCTTGCTGTGCAGTGTTAGCAGTGAAGTGTTAGCAACGCCTCCAGTTTGAGACCCGAGAGCTCACCTACACGCTAAGGCAACGCTGATAGTCTTTCAAGCCTATAGGTAGAAAAAAAAGACGCAGTACCTACCCTTGCGGGTAACAGTATGCCCTTTCTAACCGAACGCATGACTGCTTTGTGGCATTAAATAGATAGGACGTAAGCATCTCTCATAGTGCGAGTAATATTAAGGCCTATTACCAGTAAGATACAAACAGGATAAGTCAAATGTAAACTACCGAGACGATATAAATAAAAATCTTTGTGTGTTCTATTCAAAATACTTCGAAAAGAAAGAGACAGCGCTACATAACTTTAAAAACATTTTCTTACTTCTTTTCCCCATAATTAGTCTACAATAAATTCCTAACGCGTTCCAGATACCTTAAGTTCTTCCGCTGAATGTATCAATGTTATCTGTATACATTTTTCTTTTGTTTTACTTTGAAATTGGAACGATTTCGTAATGTCAAACGTGCAGCTGTGACAATGTTTCGTCAAAACATATTTTACGGCCCGGAATGCAGTGCTTTTTAGGATACGTGTTCATACGTTCCTTTCCAGCTACCGGAGTAAATGAACAACACCGAAATGTGTGAATTATATGGCGCAATAAACATGCTACTCTATAAACTTTCTTCGTCGTTGACGACAGAGCGCTAGTTGGAGAAATGAGTGAAAATAATGCTACTTTGGTCAGACGACAGGGAAGAGGTGGGAGTAATTCGAAGCGTCACCTACTTTCATTTTTAATGCAATATATGCATTATATGCAAAACGGTATTATTATTTTTTATTATGCACTAGAACTTCTCTCTATGCCTTGAAGACACCTTTTTGAAGAAGGGAATGTCGGAAAAAGAATCACAGGGCAAGTTTTGCAAATTGAATGCGGATTCACCGCGTGTAATGTCATTAGAGGCCAAAACGAACTTAGCGCTACCATGCACTAATAACACAAGTTCAACGACAGTGTTCGCGATTTTTGTATTGATTTCATGATATTTTGTATTTCGTATACATTTTTTATGTTTGTATTTCGTAATTTTAAACAAATAATTGATACTATACCACATATTGATTGCTTTTAAATTAAACAAAGTCTCTTATAGTTTACTAGCTGTACCCGTCCGCTTCGCTGGGCATTTAAAATTAACATTATTATTTCTCACCCCCACAACGATTCTCATCATTAACGCCCCCGCAACTGGTGTAGGGAATCCAACACTCATATAAATATTAGCCTATCCATTAAGCACATGTATTTTCTACATGGTTACCAAGTTTCAAGTCAATCGGATGTATTGTTCAGTAGTTATAACGGAACATCCGTAAAAACCACTATAGATTTATATATTAGTATAGATTATTATTAGCAAGTTGAAAAAAATTCATTGAGGAACAAAGAACTAAAATGATTGACTAAATTGATTGAGTACGAACATTGTAAAAGTTAAGTGTAGGTATTAATTTGTTCTCGTGTACCTACTAAAGTCCATTGCTACAACAACAATATTACGCAATTCGACTAATCCAAAACGAGGCCTAATAAAAAAACTATCTGTACGTAAAGATCGTGACCGGAGATAGGCTGCGCGTGCGCGCCATCCGTCTTCCGAGCGCGGGAAGCCGCCACGCCAGTCTTGTGATGATCGACGATTTATATCTACAAAAAAATACTTTATGATCTGTTCATGTGTTCCCGAAAAACACTTT